AGCACAGGGCAGAGGAGGAGTAGAGGGGCCCCAGAAGCAGAGCACTAGGAATCAGGACCAAATTCTACTCATACCAAAGCTATATCCTCCATAAATGCAAAATATCTTTTTTTCATTTGCTTTATAACCACAGATTCTTGCTTCAAAAACAGAGAGCATAGGAGTCCTTAACGAATGCATGGTTTAGCCATAAAACAACAGCCACAGGTTAAAAGCTAACACTGAAGATGTTACCTAGACGGGTAACAAAATGCCTGCAAGAAAACAACCAAGCTCAGAGAACCCCAAGGACTTCACAGTTCAACCAAGCTATATGTATTCTCTACCACTGGTAACACAATTGTGCCTAGAACTGGATGGTCCCACTTGCAGGTTAAGCTCCTTCATCTCATTTGCAGAATGAATTCCAAGATTAAGATTTTGAATTAGGCCATGATTGGGCATAGGTCAGCGCTGAGATGAGCAGCCAATCAGGCCCCTTTCATCAGTCAAGCTCCACCTCAGACAGCTAGAATATGCATTCATTTTCCCATCTGTCTGGAAAATTATCATGCCTGGGGATGCATGATACATTTGTTTTTTTCTTTCTTAAGAAATGGCAAGTTTACATAATTGCAATCAAGCACCCACAACATTCCCAAGCAACTGCAGACTGGGAAACAGCTCAGTTTAGCCACGCAGCATGAGACACTGCAATTGTGATCTAGCCAGATTTAGCCTCTGCCAAGACAAGTCAGCAATTATGTTAAGGGAAACAGATGTCAAGAAAGGAACAGGGAGATGAGAACCAACTGTGTGATGGATGGCTAGCTCAGAAGTTCCTGACCAAATGTATGTAGGCTTAAACACAAACAAGATTCTACCATCCACCCAGGACAGCAACAATTCAGTTAAATTCCAGCTCCCATCACCCCAGGCCAGCATGGCCATGGGGAGAGATGATGGGAATTGCAGTCTAACCACATCTGGAGGAACATAAATAATATAATTGGCCTGTCTCAAGAATTCTTCAGAAAGATTGCAATGGATTCCCTGGCCCATGCTCAATTATTTCAATAACACAAATAATTATTTTAATAAAGTAAGAACTGTTTCTATTTTTTCCATTGATTATTTGATATTTAATTTAAAATACTGTACCCCACTTTCTAGCCATTAAAAACAGAACATACAATCACAAGAAGTTTAACCCTCCAACCCCCAAGGCTACAAAAGCAAAGTGTCTCTTTAAAACAATTCTGCCAACGAACATGAGAATATGGCTGAGGAGCAGTTTACAATGTCCCTTCAAGGTAGCCCAGTGTGCCTACAGAAATTTACACAGCAACCCTGTAGTGTGGCCCAGTATTTTATGCTGCATATACTTCATTTCGTACAGAGAACTATGGGAAGAAATCACAATCTTGACTGAAGCAGCAGTGGGTGGGATGAGTAACTTATTTTCGGTAAGGAAAGAGTTAAACATCCTTCTTCCTCCCCACCCAGATCCAGTTAGGGTTCCTCCCCACCCAGATCCAGTTTTACTGCTCTTCTGTAAAGAGCTTACACCAATCCACACACACTCAAAAACAAACAAGCCAAGCAAAATAAGTAATTTGAGTCCACAGATTATTAAACATGTCCTGGAGTGCCCTGCATGGATCTATTTCTGTTACTAAGCACAAGTTGCAGCAAATTCTTTTTCCCACCAGATTCCAGTTAACTGCAAGCAAACATTGACTATAATCTACGAAGTGTACCACATTTTAGCCTCCAGCGTTGGGCAAGTGCAGGCTGCATGGTTAGCTGCTAATCTAATGAACTTTGAAAATCCTGAACTTTGCCTTATTTCAGTAAACTCTGGTTCAGTTCAGCAAGGGTAAAGGTGCTGAGATTGGTAGAAGCAGAGGTTGGGTGCAAAGTCCCCAAAGAACATTTCAAGATACTTAAGTTCAGAATTATGTCATATCAGATACCTTTACTTACTTTTTATTGCAAAAAAGAGAGAGAGAACCTGCCACAGTATTTACAAAGTGTAATCTGGGACATTTTGCAATGATCTTGCTGACCAAATATTAGGTGCTGTAGTCCAAAACTGAAAAATGTATACAATACAAAAACAAGGCCTCTGCTTTGAGCCCTGGAGGAATAAGGCATATTCACCTTTTGTTCACAAGAGCTCTACTTTTCTCCAAAGAGAAATACATCATTCCCAGGCTGGCCACCAAGATAACAGGTATCACATAGTACCTTGAATTTCTTCCTAGTGCCCTGGAGCCAAATGCAAAGGGCAATTTTATTTAATCTTCTCAACGACCTGATTAGGTAGTTGTGGCCTACTAAAGGTTTGTGGTTGAGGCAGGATAATAAATAAAAGGAGATACACCTTTGGCAACAGTAGCTAATTAATGTGCTAGGTTTGGAAGAGTGTGGTGGACTTTGTTTTGTTTTAATGTTATGTAAAACTAGTTTTTACAGGAGAAAAAGTGCCATTTCCTGCTCTCAATTCTCCAGCAATTGTGACTGGAATGGCTTTCAGGAAAAGGGAGGCCAGGGCTTCCAAGTGAACTCCCCCCCCCCCTTGATTTGCTCATCAGTAGGTGGAGAAGGGATGGGATGGGTGATTCCAGCCATTGGGGGGTTTGTAAAGCATCGTTTATACCTGAGCACCCTGTGAAGCACCTTCTCCTGCCTTCTTCAACAAGCCCCGATACAAAAAACAAAAGCAAAGCAGAAATCCAGCCACTGGCTCAGAAACCACTGTAAAAAGATGGGAAACAGGCAGGATGGGCAGCTCCCTTGCTCTTCCTGATCAGAGGGTTGCAGCAAATGTTTGTGTAGTGGAAGCATTCGGGATGAAAGGGAGGGGCCCCATGCACCCCCTTGCCTGGAACAATAGAACAGGGCTTGTATGCAAGGCCGAGCTAGTTTCATCTGTGCTATTAGTTTCATCTGTGCTATTCGACTGGAAAGAGTCCCACAGGAGTTAACAGCAAATATTTTAACCGTTTTTTTTTTCCTTTTCACCTTTCCAGGCAGTAATATCAAGAAGGCTTACCTTCTGCTTATGCCATTATTTTTTTTATTTTGGGAAGGGGAGGCAAAGGGAAGCATTCAACTTTCCCCCATAGCTCATTGCCAGGAAGTGTTAGGAAAGGGGCAAGACCTGGGAAGACAATATCTTTTGCACGTACGTGCCCAGTGTTGCAAGGCAAGACTGGCATTGCTCCAGACGATTCAGTTAGAATTGGCTGGTATTAAGAAATTGTACTGCCTATTTAAAGAAACAGAAACTTTATCTCGTTGGAATGGCCAATGGGTAGATCTTATTCTCCCAGGTACTATACTGGGGTTTCTCAAACTTGGCAACTTTAAGATATGTGGACTTCAACTCCTAAAATTCCCCAGCCAGCATATCTTAAAGTTGCCATGTTTATACGAACACTATACCAACCCAGCTCAACTTGCTCTCTGTGGCTCTGCAGAAGCCCATGTATGGCAGCCCCATAAAGTTAATTGGGGCTTTTTCTCAGAAAAAGGGAAAAGACTGGGGCAAAAAAAACAACAACCCCACCCTCCCTCATTTTTCAGTTTATTGTGGATTTTTAAGCCTCTCAGCATCATGTGAGGGAAGGAATGGCTCACAGTTCTGGTTTTAAATCGTGGTTAGTTGGGGGTCATGTTCTTTAAGCCGCTCTTTGATTTATACAGGCTTAACTGAAATGCAGGCTTGCAGGCACGAGGCGCTGTCCATTTCTTTGCAAATTGTTAAACTAAGGGTTGGCCTTAGTTAGTGGCCTGGCATTGCTGCCTTGAACCATCGGCCTCCTGGATTTTTTCCCTTTTATTTT